TACACACGCTGGCTGGCCGGTGATGACCTCCACATTCCCAGGCGTGTCTCAGCCCTTTAGTGGCCCATCATGGAACTTCATAAAAGCTAGCTTCAGTGGATACAAGCAGAGATCCTAGTTTAACACACACACACACAGGATGGTAAAAGAAAAACAAATGCATTGGGAAATGATCAATTATACAGGTCTCTAGGCATTCACAGAAATTGAGACCAAAAGGAGGATATTCTTAGGAGAGGATCACAAAGGCTCAACAGCTATGTGCATCTGCTCACAGAACAGTTTATCAAAATGAACTCCAGGAAATGGAAACAAACAGGTTTTTTGGTTTATCTGTTTTCATTTTCGTCTTTTTTTTGTCTTTGGAAGGGTAAGGGGGGAGCACAGAAATAGAGGGACAAAGGGGAAACAAATACAACAGTGATAGTAGATACCATGTGGAAAATGAACTATCCAACTTGTGGGTGGGGACAGAAGGGAAAAACCGGGAGAGGGTGAGGGAAGAGGTGACATTATTCAAAAAGAAGTGTCCTCTTATTCTTACTTATAACAATACACACACACACACACACACACACAAAACAGCAAAACAAAGAAGCCTGCTGTGGGCAGCTCACACCTGTCATGCTAGCTACTCAGGAGGCTGAGATCTGAGGATCACAGTTCAAGGCCAGCCTAGAGCAGGAAAGTCCGTGAGACTCTCATCTCCAATAAACCACTCAGAAAACCGGAAGTGGTGCTGCAGCTCAAAGTGGCAGAATACTAACCTTGAGCAGAAAAGCACAGGGACAGCATCCGGCCCCCGAGTTCAAGCCCCACGACCGACCAAAAAAAACCCAAAACTGAAAATAGCTTCTTGTGAAATGGAGAACTACTCTATAGACACTTTTGATCCTAGCCCCTTCCCTGAAAAAAAAAATCTCAGCTACTTGCAGGGCACTGGTGGCTCACACCTGTAATCCTAGCTACCCAAGGAGGCTAAGCTCCGAGGACCTGTGTTCAAAGGCAGCCTGGATGAATCCATAAGTCTTTTCTCTCCAATTAACAAACAAAAAAGCTGGAAGGGAGCCATGGCTCAAGTAGCAAAGCACCATCTTTGAGTGAAAAAAAGGCAAACAAGAGCATGAGGCCCTGAGTTCAAGCTCTAATACTCTCTCTCTCTCTCTCTCTCTCTCACACACACACACACACACACACAACAAAAAACAAAAAACCCTATATGGGAAAGGAAAAACAGCAGACCAGCAGTAGGTACACTATGGTGACAGGAAAACCACAGTGTGGAATTATATTGAAAGACCAATCTTTTGAGTCCAGCCTCTTGCATGCAATTATACTAAAGACCTAACTTCTCAGCTTGTGCAGTTATAATTTGAGGAAGTAGCCAAGGTGGTGGTGGTGGTTGAACAACAAAAAGATACACAATAGAAAGTTTAATCAGCATATACATACACATACACACACACACACACGACTCTAAACATTTGTCACACTTTTTAAAATCGAGTGTCACACTTTCAAATTCAAAAAGGCATGAGCCTACAGAACTCTTGATGAAGTAGGGTAGCAATGAACTGTTCTTTCTCACAGTTGGAATTATTTGCTCTGGTGAGCAACCCAAGCTAGTCAACAACCTGCAGTACAAGTTCAGCCCTTTCCCACCCAACTTCATTACTTCGAGGCTGCAAAGACATCTTCCTGACTTGCTATTTGGACAGCTTGTGTAACACCATCCACCTCTGCTGGGTAGATTGGCCCACAGTGATCTCCTTATCTCCTCGGTACAGAGTAGATGAAAATAGAAGAACCAGCTGATGCAGTTTAAAAAAAGAATCTCCAAGGGCTGGGAAGGTGGCTCAGTGGTAGAGCGCTTGCCTTGCATGCATGAGGCCCTGGGTTCGATTCCTCAGCACCACATAAACAAAAAGAAAAAAGCCGGAAGTGGCGCTGTGGCTCAAGTGGTAGAGTGCTGGCCTTGAGCTGAAGAGCTGAGGGACAGTGCCCAGGCCCAGAGTTCAGGCCCCACGACTGGACCCCCCCCCCAAAAAAACCCGAAAAACAAATCCCCAAGCCACAAACATCTTCACAAATGAAACACAGGCAGTATACATTCATAACTCCCCCTCCTCCAGCAGTAATAAGCTTAGCAACATTCATAGGATGTTGTTTGTGGGAAAATACACTTTGTTTTCTCAGCAATCCTTTCATTTCATAAAAGCTTCTGTGAAATTCCCAGTGTGAGAGTGTGTGTGTGTGTGTTCAACAAACTCACTCAACAGAACCGTGCTACCGTGGAAATTTTACCTGAGCTTCGAGAGTGAGCGCTGTGGGGGTTGGGGGAGGAATGAGAGGCCCTGTCCTTAAGGATCTTGCAATGAGGCTGAGTCTACCCAGATGACACTTGGAGCCCAAGCAAGCACAGAACGTCTGGCCAAAGGTGAAGTTGGGCGGAGCCGGCTGCTGCTCTGACAACCCAAGTTTTAAGTTTACTTGGGAAAGAACTGAACACCTAGGAAGCTTTCTGCATCATCTTCTATGGTTGAGAATAAAAACGTCTGGCAAGAAACGAGAAGAGAAACAACCGTCCCAGAAACCAGAATCTGTATGAGAACAGTTGCTATGTGCTATCTGGTTTTGCTTTGGGAACTGGCTCTATCACACAGCTTCAAGGCCCCCGCTTGAGCTCTTGAATAGCTCAGGGGCAGCACCCAGGCCCGGAGTTCAAGATCCACAACCGACAATAAAGAAAGAAAAGAAGAACTTAACCCCTCACCCCCACTCCCAAAATTAATACACCACTCACTACATAGACTAAGAAAAAAAAGAGGGAAGAATGGCAAATAAACATATGAGGAAATGATCAACATCCCTGGCCATAAAGAAAATGCAAATCAAAACAACTGTGAGATTCCATCTCACCCCATTAGACTGGCCAACATCAAGAATTCTAACAAATGCAGGTGGGACTCTGGGGAAAAATGAACCCTATTACTAGTGCAACCACTCTGGACAGCAGGCTGGAGGTATCTCAGAAAACTAAACATAGCTCTTCACTACGCCCCGGCGGCCATACTACTCTTGGACATCTACCCAGAACATCACAAGCCAGGATACAGTAAAGACCCTAGCACACCCATGTTCACTGGCTGCACGATGCACTAAAGCCAAGTTATGGAAACAGCCCAGATACCTTACAATAGATGAGTGGATCAAAAAGAAAAAAAAGTGTGGTCCTTATACATAATAGAATTTTACACAATCATTACAATGAGTTAACATGTCATTTGCAAGAAAATAGATGGACCTAGAACAAATAGTGCTAACTAAGCTAAGCCAACCCTCAAAGAGACAAATGGTACGTGTTTCCTCTCATATGCAGAAACACAAACTAAAATGCACCAAGACATGACTCTAGGCAATCACACACAGTAAGATTAAAGAAGGAAGCCGGGCGCTGATGGCTCATATGCCTGTAATCCTAGCTACTCAGTAAGCTGAGATCTGAGGATCATGGTTCAAAGCCAGGCCTTGCAGGACAGGCCATGAGACTCTGATCTTCAATTAACCACCTGTAAACTGGAACTGGAGCTGTAGCTCAAAGTGATAGAGTACTAGCCTTGAGCAAACAAACTCAGGGCCAAAGACTAAAGGAGATATTCTCTGGAAGAAATTGGCAACATTGTCCAAAGAGAAATATACTTATTACCTGACTTAAGAAACTGGCAACCTCTGTACATCACCTTAATAACAATAAAAAATTTTAATTAACTCTTCTGTCCACGGTCAGCTAATGCCAAGTGTCCTCTCCTGTTTTAAATCTGACTCAACAAAAGCCTACGAAACAGGGCTCACCTGTTAGCTACCTAAATGCCTCCTGTTTCTTTTCCCAGCCTGCTAAGTGAGCCCCCTTGATGGACTAAATGCACTCAAACGGGGGGGGGGGGGGGGGCACAACTTGGAAATAATCTCTGCCTACAACAACTTTTCTAGGACCTGAGTGTCTTAAAACACAGTGGTCTGATGATTCCTGGGTGGCCGGCGTAACCAATATTTGCAGATTCTAACTATTCAAGTTAGACGTCATCCATCAGAAAGCCAGGGGAGAAGGGAGAGGGTGAGGCTGGCAAAGTTATTTGTCAAACAAGCTTCTCTGGTGATTCTAGAGTCTGTTTTTGAATTCATTACTCTTTCGGCCAACCTATGTTTTTGCAGTTATTGTTAAAGCAAAGAGGTGCTAAATTAAGAGACTTTTGCCAGCAGCCCAAGGGGAAATAATACACAGAGTAAGGGTTTTTGGGGGGCTATCTGGAGGTTGGAATGCTCACAGGTCAACCTGTCTCAGACAGGTAGAAACCCTGAGAAAAATAAAGGTGTATAGATCCCACACCTTATACCCTTGAGCGGTGAAGTCTGAAATGTGTACATGTCACTTGAGGCGGGGGGTGGGGGGGGGGGCCAGATTGGGGGGGGAAGGGATAGGACAAAACTACGGAAAGAAAGGTGCTATTGACCAAGAAGCCTGGCACTCATAACCTGACTTAGGGAACTGTAACCCCTCAGTACAGCTACTTAATGACAGCAACCACAACAATAGAAACGTATTTATATACTGTTTTGTAGAATCTCTTTGTACAACTACTTAAAGACAATTTTTTTTAAATGGTAAGCACCTGCACAACACCTTAAAAATAATAAAATCGTGATTAAAATAAATTATTTGTCTACTAAATAATAACCATAGTCTGAAATTCGCAAAGACCACCCAACCATCCTGAAGCGCGCATGCGCACTGGGGACCTACCATGCCCCCCCCCCCCGCCCGGGTTACCAGGGGCAACGGCGGCCCGCCCTCGCGGTCAACGTGCACCACAAGGCGGGACTTCCGGAGGCAACGCCAGCCAATTGGGCACGGCGGAACGAGCTCGGTTCGCAGACGCTTTCCGCGCCGCGTGGTCCTCACGGACCAATCAGAAGCCCGTAAAGCCGCGCGGGGGGCGGGGGGAGAGGGCCGGCGGCCGCGCGTCCTCGCGCCTCCGTTCCCATTAGCAACCGGAGGCTTCCAAACAGCCTCCCGCTCCCTCCGACCACTGTCGGTCCCGGCTAGCGGAGGGGACACGCGTCAACGCGGCGGGCAGGCGACTCACCTGGTGGCTCCCGCCGGGCTCGGCTCGGGGCTCCTCCCCGCCGCCGCCGCCATGGTGAGTACAGCCGAGGCCCCCGAGCAGCGCCGGCTCGCCCGTGACGGCGGGGCCCCGCGGCGGGCCGCTGGGCGGCGCAGGCTCCGGGGAAAGCCCTCGCCCCGAGTCTCCCTGCGCGCGGGCGAGGCCGGGCCGCCCGGACACCCCTCCGCCCTGCGGGTCCGGCGGCGAGGGGGTTTGGAGGAGACGGCGGGGGGGCGCATGCGCACACGCACACGTTTGGCCTGCCCCGCAGGTGGCGGGCTTTGAAGGGACGTTCGCGCATGCGCCCACGCACATCTTTGGCTCCCTCGGTCCCGCCTTCGCCTCTGACAGGTGGCCGGTGTTGAGGGGGCCTTCGCGCATGCGCACACGCACATCTTTGGCTCCCTCGGCCCTGCCTTCGCCTCTTTGACGGGTGGCCCGTCTTGAGGGGGCCTTCGCGCATGCGCACACGCACACCTTTGGCTCCGCCTCTGACAGGTGGCCGGTGTTGAGGGGGCCTTCGCGCATGCGCACACGCACACCTTTGGCTCCGCCTCTGACAGGTGGCTGGTGTTGAGGGGGCCTTCGCGCATGCGCACACGCACACCTTTGGCTCCGCCTCTGACAGGTGGCCGGTGTTGAGGGGGCCTTCGCGCATGCGCATACGCGCACTTCGGCTCCCTCGGCCCCGCCTTCACCTCGGCACAGGTGGCCGGTGTTGAAGGGGCCAGGGAGAGGAGGGGGGGGGTGTCTTGGTGGGACATTCGCGCATGCGCGCACGCACACCCGCGCCCCCCCACCTTCGCTCATTCACAGGTGGCCGGTGTTGAGAGGGGGCGTTCACGCATGCGCACACGCCCCCCACACTCAGGGTTGGTCCCCCCCCCTTCCCCCAGACTTGAGTTCAGTGCCCCAGCTTGCCTTATCTCCGCGGAGGATCACAGTTGGAAGCCAGCCTCGGCAGGAAAGTCCCTGAGACCCTTACCTGCCAGTGAACCACCAGAAAGCTGGAAATGGAAGGGTGTATCCTGGAGGAGGAAAAAGGGGGGGGGAAAGGTTAGGGAAAGAGCCCAGGGCCCGAGCTCAAGCCCCAGGACCGGCGCCAAAACAAACTAAAAAAGCAGACGTGGTATGCATTTGACGCTATGTTGGGAACGAACCATACAACTGGGGCGGGGGGCGGGAAGGGGGGACCTGGCCCCAAAAGAAAGACACTCTATCTGACTCACAGAACTGCAACCCCGCTGTACATCACCTTTATAGTAACAATTTAAAAAAATTAATCCAAGAGTTCGAGGAGCTTGGGGAGGAGAATTGCAACTTCATAAAGTTGGTCAAAAGAATCCACCTTTCCAATACGGGATCTCTTCATCTCAGGGTCCCCCATTCATGGCATTTCTTCCAACCCATTTAAAAAATTTCTGCCACTGAGATCTGACACTCAAGTGACTGCGCTTCAGCGTTGCATGGTCAAGACCATGGATCTACTTCCCTGCACCCAAAAATGAGTAAACTCTCACCAAAGGACAGACCAGCCAAACAACACCAGCAAGAAGCCTCTGGACACCCTAACCCAAACCAACTTAATTGACATCTACAGAGTATTTCTAGCTTTTGGTGTGCTTAATTTGAGATAAGAGTTTTACAGACTTCCCTGCCCAGGCTGGCTTCAAACTGGGATCCTTAGGTCTCAGCCTCCCGAGTAGCTAGGATGACAAGCACTTGGCCTTTCTGTGTATTTTTGTTAGTTTGTCAGTTTTTCATGACTAACAACTTACTTCTGTTTTCTTAGGCAGAATTGGGTTTAAATGAACACCACCAAAACGAAGTTATTAATTATATGCGCTTTGCTCGTTCGAAGAGAATCTTGAGACTCAAAACTGTAGACTCCTGCTTCCAAGACCTCAAGGAGAGCAGGTATCAGGGAATTCATTCATTCTTTTCTTTTTCTTTCTTTTTGGTGCTGGTCTTGGGGATTGAACTCAGGGCCTAGGCATTGCTCTTAAACTTCTTTTGCTCAATGCTTACACTCTACCACTTGAGAAACAGCTCTGTTTCTGGCTTTTGGTAGTTTATTGGAGATGAAGAGTCTATGAACTTTGCTGCACTGGCTAGTTTCAACCCATAATCCTCGGATCTCAGCCTCCTGAGTAGCTAGGATTACAGGCATGAGCCATTGGTTCCCAGGTTTCAGGGAACTCTTAAGGAAACCAACTAAGAATGTGGATCCTTTCTGGTGATGGGTATGGAGACGCTGGGGCGGAGGTTCTGACAATCCATTTCTAAGATTATCACAAAGGTGCAAGTTATCATACACAGCTAAGAGTAGGTTAACAATGCTATAATTGATAATGGGGGTCATTTTTGTGGAGTAGGATGGGTTTTTTAAGTTATTTTTTTTTCTTTGAGTCCCAAGAATACTAAATATTTAGTGAGAGATTGTTACCATTTATCCCTCACAGGTGTTTACCAACATGTGCATTATTCAGACAACCAGTAAAATGCCACAGAAATAATAGAAAAAAAAAGGTGAAACCGTTTGTGGTGACTTATAAGTTGTTAAATGAAATAGGACAAATTTAGATTTAAATTCTTACTGAAAAAGTTAAAGAATAGGTAAAATTTTAAAACATACAGGAATGTTTGTCAACATGCATGTTTAAAGAATGTGCCACAGTTTGGCCCATTGAATATGAAATTTGACCTTAATTTCTTTCCCATCTGCTTTATTGCCAAAGAAGACAGTTCCTAGAGAGCTTTTTACCTGTAATCTTTTTAGAGTTCAGGAATATGGGTTGGGATCTGGTAAGTTGCTTTTCCTGTGTATGTAGAAGCTGGGATCCCGCGTGTTTTTCTCAGGCTGGTGGAGGAGACATTCACCGCAGACGAAGTCTCCGAAGTCCTGAATGGGTTGCAGACCGTGGTCCACAGCGAGGTGGAGTCAGAGCTCATCAACACTGCTTATACCAATGTTCTGCTCCTGCGGCAGCTGTTTGCACAGGCTGAGAAATGGTACCTAAAGCTACAGACAGACGTCTCGGAGCTAGAAAACAGGTAAGAGAATTTGTACCCACAGTGGTACAGTCAGGGCATGACATTGCTGCTTTTCTTCTTGGAATACTGGGGCAAGAAACTTTGGGTAGGCTAGCACAAGGTGCTGAGCAGTCTCTTGGGCACTATTCAGCCTCTGTGTGTCTGTGTATTGGTACTGGGCTTAATCTCAGGGCCTGGGTGCCATCTCTTAGCTTTTGTGCACACTTAGCTTTTTCACTCAAGGCTAGTGCGCTGCCACTTGAGCCACAACTCCACTTTTGGCTTTTTTTTTTTTTTTTTCCTAGTTATTTGAAAATAAAAGTCTCATGGACTTTCCTACCTGGGGTGGCGTGAAGCTGAGATCCTCAGATCTCAGTATTCTCAGTAGATATGATTACAGATAGGAGCTACGGACAGCCAGTTTCAACATACTTTAAAAAAGACCTCTAAAGCATACAAAGTTGTGTTCACGCACCATTAATTGCTTATAGCAGCTCTTGTTGCCTTGGAAAGTATTATAGTCAGTCTTTATAATCAGCTAAGAAATAAAGACTACGTAATATGTAAGGAGAAATTAATTCAAACATAATAATTACCATCAGTCCAAACACGTAGCATTACAAGCTTATTTCTAAGTTATTGCATGTAAAACTCCTATATCTATTTTTTTTTTGGGGGGGGAGGTCCAGTCGTGGGGCCTAAACTCTGGGCCTGGGCGCTGTCCCTCAGCTCTTCAGCTCAAGGCTAGCGCTCTACCACTTGAGCCACAGTGCCACTTCTGGCATTTTTCTTTTTGTTTATGTGGTGCTGGGGAATTGAACCCAGAGCCTCATGCATGCAAGGCAAGTGCTCTACCACTGAGCCACCTTCCCAGCCACTCCTATGTTTATCTTTAAAATACAAAAGGTTGGTTGAAACGTTGTTGAGCCTAACAATGTTGGAGGGCACATTTAGTTTTACAAACTACAGTAAAGGCAGCAAAACTGGAACTGCCTGTAAGAAAAAGCCTATCAGCCAGGCTATAATATAGCCTGTGGCTGACGCCTATAATCCTGGCTTCTCAGGAGGCTGAGATCTAAGGATCATGGTTCAAAGCCAACCCAAGGTAGGAAAGTCCGAGAGATTCTTTATCCAATTAACCAGCAAAAAGTGGCATAATGGTATAGACTGCCAGCCTTGAGAGCAAAAGCGAAACGATCGAACTGAGTCCCTGAGTGAAGAAAAACTCAAGTCCCAGCGAAGAAAAACCCACAAGAAATAGAGAAGGGTGGCAACTCTGCCAGGCATGCCACAGCAGAGTCACCCATGCTGGCTCCCTCAGAGTGCCGACCAACACTACAGGGAAGGCAAATCACTGACCTCGTGCAACTGGGAGGTGACCAGAGAAGACTTGGAGACTCGGGTTTTAAAGAAGCTTAGAAGAGTTATTTGTCAGCTTTACTTTCTCTTTGCAAACCATCAGGTGGCGCCCTCACCCCATCTACATTTCCTAGGAAGATGAGATGCTATTTTCAGGAAATGTAGATGAATTTCATTTTCTGAGAGGGCTTTATTAGAAATCAGATAGTTAGCAAATGGTGTTTATTATGAAATAAAGTGATCTCTCCAGGCACCTCAGAGATACAGACACTCAGAGAAATACAGATTCACTTGTGTATTAACATTAAGCTTTATTGCTAGCAGTCTCTTATTATATGTGTAACAGGACCATAGAGGCTCAAGCCTGCGATCCTAATTGTGAGGCAGAGACTGGGGGATTGCAGTTTAATGCCAATTTGGGGAGGATAAAAAAGCCATTATGAAGAGCCAAGAGGAGTTTCATTTTGACTTAGTGGCTGGGAATGGTAATGCATGCCTGTCAAACCAGCAGCACATGGAAGCAGAAATAGAAGGATCACGGTCTAGGCTGGCCCAGGCATAAAGCGAGACCCTCGTTCAAAATTATCCAGTGTGAAAAAGGGCTGGCAGAGTGGCTCAAGTCATTTGGTATACTACCCACTTAGCAAGGCCCTGAGTTCAAATCCCAGTCACACAACACAAAGTGCCGAAGATGATTCAATTTGCATCCACATCTAGTGAGTCCATTAAAGATTCTCAACCATTTGTAACTATTATTTACTTCTTGTTGTTGCTGTTGGTTGTAGGGCTTGAGTTCAGGGCCTGGGCACTGTCCCTGAACCTCTTTGTGCTTACGGCTCTCTACCACTTGAGCCACAGCACCACTTCTGAGTTTTGAGGGTTAACTGGAGACAAAAGTCTCATGGGACTTTTCTGCCAAGGCTGGCTTCAAATTACTATTCTCAGGTCTCAGTCTTCTGAGTACTTAGGATTACAGGCATGAGCCACCGGTGCCTGGCCCTATTATTTACTTTTGATGTTGTAAAGTTTGGTCTAATTTGTGTTCTTTAGCTTATGATAGGTTGGTTCCAGTGATTTTTATTAGTCTTTTGTTCTGCTAAAATATATTGTAAGTAAATATTCTTCTTTGTTTGCTTTTTATCCTCAAGAGAATTATTAGAACAAGTTGCAGAATTTGAAAAATCAGAATTTACATCTTCAAATAAAAAGGTAATTTTTGGTCATCCTCAGCCTGTCTCTCTTAATAGTAAGTATTTAAAATGCTGAAGGCCCTTAGACATTTGTAGGGTAGCTGAGAACTTTCAGGTTAACAGTAGAATTCACAAATTGCCTGTGAGATTTTGAGACAAAAGAAGTTTGGAAGTAACTGTTAAAAACGTTTTTGTCTATTATTTCTCTCCCTCTCCCTACAGTCCATTCTGAATCTCAGCCAAGCAAACTATTCACCCAGCTGTTATACAGCACTGGCTTCCGAGTGAGGCAGACCCAAGTTTAAATCTTAGCTTTGTTGTTCCCCAGCTTTGTGACCTTGAGCAGGGTATCCAAGGTCACATGGAGGCAGTAGTAGTAATTACTTGTCTTTCTCACATTGTCTTTCCGTGTGATGCTACTTAGCATTCCATTTCACAGGTACACTATATCCCATCTCTGTTGTCAAGACCTGAAAGACTGCTAAGTTGAACCCACACACAGACACATAGAAATGCTTCCTGGTAAGGCCTGTGGCTCATACCTGCAATCCTCACTACTCAGGAGGCTGAGATCTGAGCGTCGCAGTTCAAAGCCAGCCTGGGCAGCAAAGTCTATGAGCCTCTTACCTCCAATATACTACTCAAAAGAAAACCTGGAAGTGGTGCTGTGGCTCAAGTGGTAGAGCACTAGCCTTGGGCAAAAGAAGCTCAGGGACAGCGCCCAGGCCCAGAGTCCAAGCACTAGGACTGACAAAAAAAAAAAAAAATGCTTTCTGTTGATGCCTTTGGGGCTTATTTTTGGCTGAGAAAACTCCCAGGATCAGAGGGCATGGATTCTTGTTTTTACTACATTCTATACAACTGTCAGGGTATCCATATGAAGTTAGTGTTCATCTGTAGCATAAGCCTTAATCTCGGCAGTATTGCAACTTTGAGCTCCCTCCCTTCCTCTCTCTCCTCCTCCTCCCATACGTATTTAAAAGTTATAGGCCAGGCATGTCCTAGGCACTGGGCCATATTCAGAATAAACAGCAGGAGCCCGGGGCCGGGAACCTGACATCTCGGTGGAAATGCTTGTGTAGCCGTCTTCTGCCCGGCCATCTTCGGCCGGGCACCGATTCAAAGCCAACCTGGGCAGGAAAGTCCGTGAAACACTTTTTTTTTTTTTGGTCGGTCATAGGGCTTGAACTCTGGGCTTGGGTGCTGTCCCTGCACTCTTCAGCTCAAGGCAAGCGCTCTACCACTTAAGCCACAGCGCCACTTCTGGTCTTCTAGTGGTTTATTGGAGATAAAGAGTCTCATGGACTTTCTTGCCCAGGCTGGCTTTGAACCATGATCCTCAGATATCAGCCTCCTGAGTAGCTAGGATGACAGGCGTGAGCCACCAGCGCCCACCATGAAACTCTTATCTCCAATAAACCCCAGAAAACTGGAAGTGGTGCTGTAGCTCAAGTGGTAGAGCTCTAGCCTTGAGCTGAAGAGCTGAGGGACAGCGCTCAGGCCCAGAGTTCAAGCCCCACAACTGACAAAAAAAAAAAGTACACATGATGACACATGCTTTACTCGAGTCACCACAACTTGAGCTCTTTCTTTTGTTTCAGCCCATCATAGATATCACAAAGCCAAAACTTGTTCCACTTAATGAAGGCGGAACAACAGAACTCCTAAACAAGGTAATGTGGTAATCTCTAAGTCTGCACAAGGGTAGTCGTGGGTGGAAGAAGGTCGTAAGTCTACCGCAGAGTTTGACGAGACGGTGCCCAGCTGGCCAAAAAACAGCATGCTTGCCTTCTCTCATCTTTCCATGATACAGTGAAGAGATTTCTTTTTGTCAGAAGTGGGGCTTGAACTCTTAGGTCTCGGCGCTATCCCTCAGCTCTTCAGTTCAAGGCGAGTTGCTCTTCCACTTGAGCCACAGCGCCCCTTCCCATTTTCTGGTGGTTCATTGGAGAGAAGAGTCTCTAGGACTTTTCCTGCCCAGGCTGGCTTTGAACTGTGGTCCTCAGATCTTAGCCTCTTGAGTAGCTAGGATGACAGGCGTGAGCCACCGGCATCCAGCTTAAGAGGGTATTTTTTTTTTGGACAATGTTTATTGATGGGCTTTTGAATTTGTGATCCATATAATATCTAGGATTTTTTAAAGTTTCTAAACATGATCAGAATCCAATTTTTCATGATTCCTATATTCTCAACATTCTGCTAGAGATAAAACAAAGACTCCTACCTGATAATAATACCTGGACTTTCACGGTCAAAAATCTGGTAGTTTCACTGGAAGGACAGAGCCAAGATAAGAGAATCCCTTGTGTTCTGTGCCGTCCCAGGGGTGCAGTGATCCAGGTGCGCCTTGGAGGGGAAGGCTTTACTCTGTCACAGAGAAGAAAGGAAGGACTGTCAGGCCAAGGAACACAGTAGTCCGAGTCCCCGCTAAGCAGTGCTTGAGTACATTGAGAAACAAGACCGGACAGTCACACGGGGCTCTCATGTCCTGGCTGCCCTGTCTCCATCAGAACCCTTCTGGCTTGAGCAGGTGCACAGAGTTTACAGATGTGGTGTGTTTGGGATGAGCGATGCAGGAGCTGGAGGTCAGCAGCCGGAGGAACGGAAGGGGCGGGGCTGTGGAGAATGGCTGAGGGAAGGGCTGACAGAGGGGTGGTGTGTTTCAGGGAAAAGGGGCAGGAAGTCTTAGAGCAGAGCTTACTCCAAGGTGTCTAGGCTGGTGGGCCGAGAGAAACTGAGATACTGCCGCTGACCAGGGCATGCGGGTTTGATTCTTGTTTTTGGAGTATTCGTTTTGATTGTATTTAAGTTCTGAAGTGAAACACTGAATTTCAAATAATTTCCGACTCTGAGTTACAATAATGAGACTTGAATTTCCTCACCAAGGAAATAGTGAGGCTACAGGAAGAGAATGAGAGGCTGAAATCAAGGCTGAAAACCACTGAAACGCAGGTAATTGAGAGTTCCCTTCACAAAGTTAGCAACGACCGTTACCTCAATATTAAGTACCCAGTGTGCTCTCTCTAAACTTGGTTACAGGCTACAAATGCACTGGATGAGAAGTCCAAACTAGAAAGGGCACTTCAAGATTTACAACTTGACCAAGGAAATAAGCAGGTGAATTCAAGTTTGAGCTATCTTACATTTTCTAAGTGGAAAGAAGTTAAAAGTTTACAATTAAGTCCTACTTCATCCTCCCCTCCCTCTCCCTGTCCTCACCCAGTAGGAAAAATGCCCATTTCCTGCCCCGTATTGGAGACTTAAAATCTTGAAAACAAACACTCAGTCATCATTATTATCTGATCATGTTGTCTTTTAAGTAATGCCTGAAGCATACACCTGCTGAATTTTTGATAGAAATGTTATTTTGTGGGGTTTTCCTACTACCTAGACCATCTGAAAGAATTCAAATTTTTTTTTGGTCGGTTGTGGGGCTTGAACTCAGGGCCTGAGCTTCTTTTGCTCAAGTCTAGTATTCTGCTACTTGGAGCCACAGCACCACTTCCAGTTTTCTGCTGGTTCATTGGGGATCAGAGTCTCACGGACTTTCCTGCCTGGGCTGGCTTTGAACCTCGATCCTCAGATCTCAACTTCCTAAGTAACTAGGATGACAGGTGTGAGCCACCAGCACCTGGCGATTTTTTTTTTTAAACGAAGGATTTTTTTTTTTAGTTTTCAAAATGAAACTTCGTTGCCATCTTAACTCGTATGCAGGTGTTGACACCTGCTCCATTCCTGGCAGACTGGGATGCACGTCATTCCTAAGTCACATTTCATACATTTACAAGTCAGTGACTGCTGAGCATTTGCTCAGCCCCTTGGGCCAAGGGTGCCCCGAGTCTACTGGTAACCCCGAGGGGACCGGCACTGCCCACAGCGCCTTCTAAAACACCAGATCTCGACAGGAAGCCATGCTCACCTATTTCCTTTTCCTAAGGACTTGACCAAGTCCCAAGACCTGAGTGACTTGGAAAACACAGTGGCAGCTCTCAAGAGCGAGTTCCAGAAAACCCTCAGTGACAAGACCGAAAACCAGAAGTCCCTGGAAGAGAACCTTGCCACAGCCAAGCACGACCTCCTCCGGGTTCAGGAGCAGCTGAGCATGGCCGAGAAGGTGCGGGCTGCATGCCGGCTGCGTGTGCTTGTGTCTGCTTAGCTGACGCGCGCAGCACTGCGGGACCCGGATGACGGAGATGAACCCAGGGCAGCTGTGTGCTCAGACAGCGGTTCTCGGGGTCTGTGAATGATGGTACTCGGGGCACAGGCACACTTTTTAAGTTTAGACCTTTTCTTGTATCTTTTTTTTTTTTCAGTTGGTCATGGGGCTTGAACTCTGGGCCCGGGCGCTGTCCCTCAGCTCTTTAGCTCAAGGCGAGTTCTCTATCACTTGAGCCACAGCGCCACTCCCAGTTTTATTGTATTACCTTAACGTTAGTTATGTACAGAGAGGAATGTCATTCTTCTTCTTCTACACCTATTTACAGTAGGGTGCTAAAGTTTAATTTTAAAAATCCTTTGCCTGAGTTCCTGGTTTAAGATTGCTCCACAAAATAAAGTGTAAAAGGTTGGCTTACGTATAAAACACCTTCATAGCAAGCTGGAGGCCCTGAACTCAACCTCAGAACTACTAAAAGAAAAAAAGAATTAATTATAATAAAAAATTTTCTTCCTAAAATACTGGCATTGCTCTGGGATTTAAAAAAGGATTATGTTTATTTTACCTAAAAGTTGGTTTAATACAGGTTCTGCTGGGGGTTGGGTAACAATGGAACAAGGATGAGTAATAAGTATATATGGTATCTTCTGTGTGTGCGCGCACACATGCACATATGCATAAATATTGGCTTAGTTGGATTTCATAAAGCTTTCTGATGTTTGGGATATAGTATACTTGAATTACTTTGCCAACATGTTATGGGGAAGTATTACAATTGTATTGGCTTCTCATTTGAAACCATGTTTTTAAACATTTAGGTAAATAAGTGCGTTTTGTAAGGAAATCAGAAATTAAGCAAAGAATCAGTAAGTTTAGAGCAAAATACTTATTTTTTGCTGGGTGCTGGTGGCTTATGTCTGTCTTCCTAAGCTACTCAGGAGGCTGAGATCTGAGGATCGTGGTTCCACGCCAACTCAGGCAGGAAAGTCTGTCTCTCTCCTCCAATGAACCAGTAGAAAACTGGAAATGGCAGTGTGGCTCAAGTGGTAAAGTAGTAGCCTTGAGCGAAAAAGCTCAGGGACAGCGCCCAGGCCCTGAGTTCAAGCCCCACGACTGCCAAAAAATTTAAAAATGCCTTTCCATCACACGTGTTATTCTCTGCGTAACTCTCTGTTAGTAACAGCTGGCATTCTTTTGCTTGCACAGGAATTAGAGAAGAAATTTCAACAGACAGCAGCCTATCGAAACATGAAAGAGATTCTCACCAAGAAGAACGACCAGATCAAAGACCTGAGGAAACGATTGGCAAAGTAAGGAAGCTGCTGCCCCTGTGCTGTGTGCACCCAGCACGCAGGCCCCAGGCCCAGGCTCTGCCGTGTGCACCCAGCACGAGGCCCCGGGCCCAGGCTCTGCCGTGTGCACCCAGCACGCAGGCCCCGGGCCCAGGCTCTGCCGTGTGCACCCAGCACGCAGGCCCCGGGCCCAGCGGGAAAGGCATCCGTAGACACTTCTCCTCTATGGGGTCTGCCCACTCCCACGTCATCTGCCAACCAGGGTTAGCTTTGTCATCCGTGGTTTTGCCTAGAAATTCAGCCAGCTTTTTTTCTTTATCACATTACAGAGTACAAATCAAAGTGTGTATGTGTGTGTGTGTGAATGCATGCGTGCCAATACTAGGGCTTGAACTTGGCTGTCCCTGAGCTTTTTCACTCAAGGCTGGTGCTCTACCACTTGAGCCACAGCTCCACTTCTGGCTTTGGTTGCTAATTCATCGGAGATAAGTGTCTCATGGATTTTCCTGCCTGGATTGGCATCAAACCTCAGTCCTCAGATGTCAGCCTCCTGAGTTGCTGGGATTACAGGCGTGAGGCACTAGCACCTAGCCAGAAAGTGAACTCAGCATGAGATCTGGTCTCACAGGAGCTTCCCTGACCCGTAACTCACGTCGTCACTGCTGTGGATGTTGAGCTGAGGGTGGTACTCAGCCATCTGGGATCTAACTGCTGAAGAGAGAGCACTGAGTCCCATCCTAACTCCTGAACATACCCAACTCCTCCCAGTAGTGACCCAGAAAAGAGAGAAAATGGTACCCTGCAGCACGACTGCGCTAGCCGCTAGAGATGGTCAGGCAAACCTATCTGACAGCTATTAGGAGAGCCGGGACCAAAGGCCTCATGGCGGTGCTCGTTTACATTCCAGATACGAGGCTGAAGACTGACTGCCGCCTGAAGATGGCCCCAGAGCCCGCCACCTGGCCGTGGAGCCGCCCCTCCCGCCGCGCGCGCGTGTTCCGAAGTACTTTGTCATCTATCTAGCCTCGCTCCTATTTTTCTAATATTGAAGCTTTGCTTTTAATGCTTAGAATGAAAGTTCTTACTTTTCAGTTCTCTTGCCAGAAGGGGCTGTGCGCTCAGGGTCCGCAGTCTCCGTGTGCATGCAGAGAACAGTTCCGTGCAGAGGGGCTTAGTCTATGTGTTCAGCTAAAGAGTGTCTTTTTAAAAAAAAAAAACAAACAAACATCCTAGAGAAGCTGGTATGCCTCTCATCATCCATTCCCCAAAGGTGAAAAGAAGCAAGAGTGGTCCAAGATAGCGATTACAAATAAATCTTATTTCTGTTTTTGAAAATGAAATTCCGAATGCATTTACTCTTGCTTGAGCATGAAACAAGGTTTGGGAAATGCAGATCATGTCTATTCTAAATAGGGCGTTTGGTTTGACTAACTCTAAGGCAGATAACAACAGTGAACATGTGTGGTTTTGCTCTGTCTAGCCGAAGGATGTTTCAGCAGGGGCCGGACAGGCATCTTAGGCAGCCGGACTTATCACTTGAGTCTGAGGGGAACTCAGATCCCCCCTGTACCTCTACACTTTAGAAAACAAATGGACTCAGAGAAATCTTTTCAACTTGTTTCCAGAATATTCCTTTAAAGTATATGCTTAAGAAAACAACGACAAGGGGCTGGGAAGGTGGCTCAGTGGTAGAGTGCTCACCTAGCATGCATGAAGACCTGGGTTTGATTCCTCAGTTCCACACACTCAGAAAAGGCTGGAAGTGGTGCTGTGGCTCAAGTGGTAGAGCACTAGCCTTGAGCAAATGAAGCTCAAGGACAGTGCCCAGGCCCTGAGTTCAAGCCCCAGGACTGACAATAAAACAAACTTCAAAAACTTAAAAGGCAGGGAGCAGACCTCAGGACTGGACTTTGAGGTCCAGTATGTGTACATGTATCTATAGGAACGAGTTACCAAGAGGTTTGAATTCCATTTCTGTACATTTTGATTACATATCCAGGTGATTGTGGATAAACCGTTAGAACCTGGGCACCAGACCTGCTCACCGCCGTAGCGCTCCAGGAAGAAGGGCCTTCCACACACAAACCTCCAGCCATCTGTCCCACTTCCAAAGCAAGTGTCGCCCCTCCACCAGCACTTCTAACAAAGGCCACTCTGCTTCTGCAGTGAAAATCTTTCATTAAAGGAGTTCCTCGACATAGCATATATTCCTCATTACTTGTAGTCAGGCTTGTGCATGTGTGTGCTGTATTTCTGTAGCTCCGAAAACCCAACAGCATCGTCTGCAGCCCAGGAAGTTGTGTAAAAAAGACACACAGAACGTGTAACTGCACACTGGCTCAAACTCGACGGTGTGTCCTGCACTGTTTTCTCTTGCTGGTAGCCAGGAGGGGAAGAGCATGTGAGGAGAAGTAGAATTGCAACTTGGTTTTTATGTGAGCAACTTCGATGAAACCCTGTATATTCTGTTCCCACTTGTTTGATAATAAAATCAGAAGTATTTCTGAATCCCTGAAACTTAACCAATCAGGAATGAGGGGTGCATCCATAGCGGGTAGGCTTCGGCTTCTGCCTAGAAGCACAACTTAGCTTCTGGCTTAGCCGCCGCTTGTGTGGCTTGTTCTGTTTGGTTTATTTGCATCCTTTAGCACAGCATAGTCTACCACTCAAGCTACAGCACCACTTCTGGTTTTCTGGTGGTTCATCAGAGATCAGTGACTCATGGAGTTTCCTGCCTGGGCTGGCTTTGAACTGCGATCCTCAGATCTCAGCCTCCCAAGGAGATGACAGCCGTGAGCCACCGGCACCTGGCCCTCTGTCATTTTGCTGAGTGGCTGTAGCAGGAGCAGGCTCTGTCCTGACCCTGCAGGCTACAGTTGACTGAAGCTAATTTTAAGTCTTGGCAAAAGGAACTGATTGGCCTAGCACATGAAAAGCTGGGAAGTTTCTGATGAGCTCTGGAGAGCTAGACCTCTCTGCTGGATATGAAAACCACCTTCCTTTGGTCCAGACATGGCTTCTGAGTAGCAGGTTAGCCTGTAACCTACAGTGCCTATCATTCTGCATGTTCTGATTAGCTGTCATCCTTGGGGTGTAGAGAAGAAGGATCCAGAAAGCTCCCACCTTCAGCTTACTGTCCCTCGTGTTGTCTGGGGAAGTTGCAGCACAGGCGCTCACTCTACCAGCAGCTCATTAATTCATCCCTACCACCACTCGGAGGCTGACCTTGGGCTCGCTCTGTTCCTGGACTAAAGGACTGTGGCCCCTCCCTGCGCATTCAGCAGCTGGCAGTCAGCCCTCTGCTGTCCGCCCTTCGTGGGCCGTGTGGCCGGGGACACCGCCTAGCCCAAGTTCACTCTCCCTTCCAAGTGCCATTGCACGCGCAGCAGCCAACCCAGAAGTAGAAAGGTGTGGCCCTCCCGTGCCAAGGGTCTCTCGTGTCTGGCAATTCTTTGGGCCTGGCAGTCAATCCTGCTAGCTCCCTTCCCTTTTTACAGCCCTCAGCTCCACCCTAGCAGGGCTCACACACGTGTCTGCCTCCATCGGGTCTCCGCAGCCAGGGCCTGCCCCAGACGGTGAACCAGGTGCTGGCCTTTGATGTCTTGCTGAAACACACAATGGGAGGTTTGGGCATCCTTACTCGCCAGAGAGTCTGACCTGGAATTTTCCTTCCTTGTAAAACCTCTGTTATTTGAAAGCCATCCAGAAATGATTAACTTAAAAAAAAAAAGTGTGATCCCCAATCATCTTCAACTGTAACCTTTGAATAGTTCAACTAGTGTTTACTCCTCTTTGTAAATCACTGAAAGCAGCGATCTGTCTGCAGAAGTGAGGCTGGAGTCATGGTTTGGTGGTAGAGAACCCGCTTAGCAGGCATGAGGCCCTGGGTTCAAACCCCAGAACCAAGGGAGGGAAGGAGGGAGGGCGGGAGGGAGGGCAAGGCAGGTAGACATGGAGGAGCAGGAGAGAGGTGATGCGGAAGATGACCCCCTCCCAGGCCGGCTGTCCTGTGAAGCCAGCGGAAGCCTCGCACTGCTAAGGCTGCAAGCTGCTGACGCTGCGCAGCCTACACATGGCCTGATTATCTCTGTTTCCCTGTAACTGCCAACTACTTGTTTTCTGAGTCTGGTTTTATTATCCTCTTCTATCCCCTGGTACTAGGCATTCTTGCTACATCAATTGTGGCTTCTTATCACGGGGGTCTGAGGCGGCATCTCTATTGGCTTTAGGAAAGCATTGCGTTATTATATTGTCAACTCTGTGAGGTGATAAAAGAGCAATGCGCTCACGTTGAGAGTACAGACTGGGCCGGGCGCTGGAGGCTCACCCTGTAATCCCAGCTACTCAGGAGGCTGACATCTGAGGACTGTGGTTGGAAACCAATAGGAATCTTGAGCATAAAAAGCTCAGGGATGGCACACACACACAAATAAATAAAGAGAGAGTATCCAATTTGATGGGTTTGGCCCATGTGACCACCGCCAGAACACATCATCTGAAGAAGCCCCTTCGTGGCTCAGCAATCGCTGATCTGCTCTGGATAGACTGGTCTTGCCTGGAATCACACAGTAATCTTTAAGTCTGCCTTTCACTCCACAAAATGTAGCTCACATTCATCCCTATTGGAGCATATGTCAGTAGCTTATTCTTTCGGGGCAAAGGCTGGAAGCCATGGCTTCCTGCGTGCTGGGCAGGCCGCGTACCCGAGCTATACCCAGCTCCACCCCAGCAGTTCACTCCTTTGAACCTGAGGAGTACTCCGGTGTCTGCATCTATTACATCTAACCATCCAGTAGTAGGAGACTTTCGCCAGTCTTCATTGATCTGACTTCCTACGTTAACTTTTAGGGGGGAACAAGCCTGCTATGTTATCAAGTATGTGATGGAGATCATGAGCAAAACCATCACCAGTGTCTTCGACAGTATGAAGTCCTGTAGTTTAGGCATTCATTTCCCAGCTGTGCATTCCCTGTTTTATTTGGTGGCTTTCAAACGGAAATGTACCCACTCACAAGTTCAGAAGCGTGAACTCGAGGTGTCGGTAGACTTGGTTCTTCTGCAGGCTGGGGGGATTGCTGCACCAGTCCTCACTTGTAGCTTCTGGTCGTCGCCCGCCAGCCTTCCAGTCCTCGGCCGATAAACACATCCGTCCAGTCTCTGCCTCTGTGTTCACGTCAGCTTCCCATCTGTGTGTCTTCTTGGCCTCTAAGGACAAAGTGCCCACCCTACTGCAGAATCATGTCAAGATGCTTAGCTTAGTACATGTGCAAAATCCTTTTTCACAACTAAGGTCCCACGCATGGGTGTGAGCCGTGGATGGAGCTATGGATGGGGAATTTACCACTGGACTCCCGCAGCAGGGCAGGGGGCAGAGAATGCCATGGTGATAGTAACAGTGACGTAGGAGGAGGAGAATGGATTTTGCTGCAGGGCCCTGGGACAAGCCTCCCCTAACAGACATTGAACAAAGGAAGGATTCAGCCAGGAGGTAAAAGTACCTCGAACCAAGTGAGCATGGCAAAGGCCCTTTGAGGTGCCCATGCTGTGTGGAGAGGCCGTTAGGGTCCACGTGGCTGGAATCCCATTCCACCATGTCCTCCTCCATCCAACACTGTGCTTGTAAGTACCTGTTTGCTCATTTTCATGGCTGCATAGTACTCCCCCGCTGCAACACTCTGATGTTTTATTTATCCATGATGCTGTTGTAGACACTGGGTAGGGAGGTTCCAGCTGCTCTTTGCTCCAGTACAAGGAGTACTCTATAAATGTGTGCCACACCTTTAATCCTAGTTACACAGGAGGCTGAGATATAAGGATCAAGGTTCAAAGCCAGCCCAGGCAGATAAATCGGAGAGACTTTTATCTCAATTAACTAGCAAAAACCCTGAAGCGGAGGAGATGCGGCTTAAATGGAAGAGCACTAGCCATAGAGCAAGAGTGTAAAGTCCTGAGTTCAAGCCCCAGTACTGGTATGACATACATACACACACAGCTCTTGCACTAGTCTGAGGCAATGTGGCACAGGGGACAGTTTTGATTTCATGAGAAGAATTTTGTGGCTTGAAGGCCTTTTCCTGTTGACTATTTTAGAGAAGAAATTTCTTTTTTTGGGGGGGGGGGGCAGTTGTGGGACTTGAACCTTGGGCCTGGGCGCTGTCCCTCAGCTCTTCAGCTCAAGGCGAGTGCTCTACCACTTGAACCACAGCGCCACTCCTGGTTTTCTGGTGGTTCATTGGAGGTAAGAGTCTCACGGACTTTGCTGCCCGGGGTTGGCTTTGAACCATGATCCTCAGATCTCAGCGTCCTGAGTAGCTAGGATGACAGGTGTGAGCCACTGGAGCCCAGCTTTAGAGAAGAAATTTCTCCAGATGGAGAAAGGGCAGATGGGAGTGGATCATAGAGGAGCATGGTTAGGGAAGATGGAACACTTGAGAAGCAGGTAGAGGAAGGATTCAGCAGAGGAAAAGATCAAAGACCCATCCAGGTTAGCAACGTGAGTTGGCAGGGTGGTGGTGAGAGGTGCGGCTCTCCTGGGGAAAGGCAGCCTCTACCTGATGCCAGACACAAAGGGAGAGCTCTGCCAGGTACATTTTGCCCCCGCTTAGGACTTGAGGCTTTGGGGTTTTTTGTGGTGGTGGTGGTAGTGGGGGGGGAGGATAGTTTGGTTTAGATGTATCCCAGACTGGCCTTGAACTTTCAATCCTCCGGCCTCAGCCTCCCAAG